ACACGCACGTACACACCACACACACGCACACACACACACGCACGCACGCACACACACACACACACACGCACAGGCGAAAAACACACCACACGCACACGCACACGCAGCACAACCACGACACACGCCCGCACACGCACACGCACACGCACCACGGACACGCACACGCACACGCACATACATACATTACATACATACATACATACATACATACATACATACATACATACATACATACATACATACATACCATACATAATAATACATACATACCACTATACTACATACTACTACATACATCATACATACATACATACATATCATACATACATAGCATACATACATACATACATACATACATACATACATACACACACATACACACATACATACATACACACAAAAAAGGCACACACCAGTAGCGGGAATTTATATCAGTATAACAAGAGATAAATCGCTGTCAGCGGCAATAACAGAAAATCGCACCAATAAATCCGCTCGTGCAGTACTCCTAGCCACTGCGCAATTCACTTACTTACCTAACATCTTCAACCAACTTTGCAAAGCCAATCCTGTCTGAGAGCGCGACTGAATATCACTGCGCACGCATTCGCCTTCGTTCTGCGTCTTACACTCTCTCCCCAGATCCTCTAAGATCTGTGCACACCTTCCAGGGAGCCGACCTCGACGTTGACTGACCGACTTGCCGCGTCCTCTCCTGCCTTGTGTTCCGTAATAGCAATTCTAGCACCGCTACTGTCTCTGTGCGGCCGGCTGTCCACCGATGCCTCCGTGAATGATAAACACCCGGCAACCGTAATCAGGTAGGCGCTTACGAGGGGCTTGCCCGCATGTTTATCTAAGCTGATTGCTCTGTTTGTTGCTTGGTGCACTCGACGCTTTTTGACTTGACGACTCGGTACATTTTTATAGGCTTGCAGGCTGCTGATGTTCCGGTGTTACGCGCTGACCCCGCGTACGTTAGTGTGATGGTGGCGAGCCGACGCGCAGACGGCGAGGGAAAGGACTCGACGCTGATGCAGCGACGTCGCCGATAAATGACGCGGCGCGCGTGTGAGCGCGGAGTCCAATAACGTGCGGCTCCGGCAGATCGGTGCTTGCGCGCTAGCAACGATCTGCGCTCTCTCTCTCTCTCTCTCTCTCTCTCCCTCTCTCGATCTCTCTCTCTCTCTCTCTCTCTCTCTCTCTCTCTCTCTCTCTCTCTATTTCTCTCCCTCTCTCGATCTCTCTCGCTCTCTCTTTCTCTCTTTCTCTCTCTCTCTCTCTCTCTTTCGCGCTACCTCACTGCCTCGCCGCCTCTCTCCTTCTCTCTCCTGCTCCTCCTCTCCCCGCCTCTTTCCTTCTACCTCTTCTTTCTCATTCTCTTACGATTCCTCGCATTCTGTCTCCTCCTCCCCATCTCGTTTTTCTTCCGTTTGCTCGATTTCTGCCCCTCTCACTCACGCGCGCGTTCTCTCTCCCTCCCACTATATCTCTAGTTTCCCCTTTCATGCACTCTCTACATTACCTCTCCTCTCTTTCGTTCGTTCTTGCTCGTTGTCTCCGTTATCTCAATTTCCCTCGCTTACGAAAATGCACGCATGCACGCACACACGCGCACATGTTATTTCGTTCGATTTCGTTTGCTCTACCATATCCAGTTCGATCTGTTTCGCCTACACCTCTGCTACCCATCCGCGTTTCCACCTCCTTTCCCTCCTAAATGTCTATTAGTATTTCAGAAGACGATGGATCTCACGGTTACGCCAAGAGCACAGAAGCTTGCTCTGCCCTATATGACTGAGTGAGTACATATATACGCTGACTGGTGAGACTAAATATATCTACATTTATTATACAAGTTCTCGATTCATTTGAATTTATTTGAGAGGTGATCGATTCAATTTTCCGTAGTTACTAAGTCTTATGTAATTTTTTCCACGCATAGTGCAATACTAAGATATGCATCCGAAATCCTCGACCAGTTGAAAAAGCCCTTATTAATTGAATAAGTGATAAGTGGGTAATTAATATATTGACCTTATAATCAGCGTAAGTAGTTTTATCTCCTAGAGTTATATCGGAATATCTCCTCCACTCCCAGTGCAATCTAACTCCCACTACCCGCGCGACAGAGTATCTATAATACTGCTGCATGCGCACTCAGTGTTTCCGTTGGGTTCGTTGATGAATTCTTCCTAAACTTTCGCGGGGCAGAAAGTCCTCGGTTGCGGTGAAGATAAATTGTGATTTATTAACGAAAACGATTTCATTTGGTGCTGCGTGATTAGATTGCACTGGGAGTGGAGGAGATATTCCGATATAACTCTAGGAGATAAAACTACTTACGCTGATTATAATGTCAATATATTAATTACCCACTTATCACTTATTCAATTAATAAGTGCTTTTTCAACTGGTCGAGGATTTCGGATGCGTATCTTAGTATTGCACTATGCGTGGAAAAAATTACATAAGACTTAGTAACTACGGAAAATTGAAGCGATCACCTCTCAAATAAATTCAAATGAATCGAGAACTTAATAAATGTAGATATGTTTAGTCTCACCAGTCAGCGTACATACTACTGATTACTTCAGCATAAAAACTATGACGAGGTTTCTACTGTTATAGGCTATAAACAGTAAATGAACAGCAAACGCTCGCCTGCTATCTTGAGATTCGCGATGATAATGGAATTTTCCAAAAAATTTCTTCCACAAAACAAACCTCGATACGTGGACAAAGGTAAGATCGTCTAGAGACATGGTATCGGTCGATAGTATCTCGCGAGATCGAAAATCATGCGCTAACTTTGTTGACATATGTGAACATGTTTTTTGATATATATCAAGCTAGGAACATAAATCAGTGGACATATTCGTGAAACGAATGATATGCCAGTGTTCTGTGACATGTTAATAGGCCTTACTATCAGGGGCGGCGCCAGGGTATTTTCTTAGGGGGGCAAAACCAGGGGCGTGTACAGAAGCACGCGAAGGGGGGGTCTGGGGGCTGTCCCCTAGAAATTTTTTGAAATTAGACCCCCTCAGATGCGCTTTCTGCGCGAGCAGGGGGGGTCCGGACCCCCCCCCCTGTACACGCCCCTGGG